GCAAACTTAACCACCGGTGCTTACGTGTATACTACAAAACAGTTAGGAATTTGTTATTAAAAGTACTTTTTTTTTTTCAGTGTCAAACAGCATTTGACGAACTTTTACCTGATACTAATTGTCGTTGATCGATGTTTAGGGTTTACGTAAACCCTAGGCTTGCTAATATGTATCCAACTAAGTGTTCTGCTGTAGCTAAGTACACATGCCTTCCCGTCACTGGACCTGCCTCTTCGGCCTTCTTCTTTCACTTCAGCCTCTGTGCGACGTCTTTCAAGTCTCTCTCAGCCTTTAGTTAGCTTTGTATGTCTTTGCATCGAACCTACCAATCGTATTTGGACATGTAACTGACATAGTAGTACAGTGGTCGAGTCTACCCTGGGTTTCGTCGACTATACCTTACCCTCCTTGTGGTTGTCGACACTCTTCTTTTCCCGAAAGGCATAACTTTTCTCTCTCCATTGACTTCAATGTATAATTTTCCGCTTCCGGGGTCCCATGGAGGCTCCCGGAAGGGAAGGGACTTCGCCTCTCTATTTCGGCTGGCCTCCTCTCGCAACAGAGAGTGCAATCTACATTTCACCATAACTTCTAGAGGGGCACTGTTTCACTCTTTGTAAAATACTCCATGAGAATGGGGGAGAGACGGGCCGGCAGCAACACACAACAAAGAATTTCCGAAACTAAACGAAGTGTTTTTATTTATTAAAATTATAACTACAATCCGAAAAAACAGGGGAAGCCTGGCTTCCCTTGGCCTCCAGGAGAAAACGCCACTGAGTCAGGGTCCTTTTTATTTTACTGTAACTTTGGAAGTTGTGTTACCAATGCTTACTGTTTATTTGATATTTCGGACCCCCCCAGACTCCCCCAATAAAGCAAAACTGTACATTTCAGAGTGGCCTTTTATTGTGGCCAGCCTAAGGCACACCTGTGCAATAATCATGCTGTCTAATCAGCATCTTGATATGCCACACCTGTGAGGTGGGATGGATTATCTCGGCAAAGGAGAAGTGCTCACTATCAAAGATTTTTTCAGATTTGTGAACAATATTTGAGAGAAATGGTTATTTTGTGTATAAAGAAAATTGTTTTAGATCTTTGAGTTCATCTCATGAAAAATGGAGCAAAAACAAAAGTGTTGCGTTTATATTTTTGTTCAGTGTATATAAAAGAAATACGATTGGCTATTATAAGAAAAACACCTCAGTCTTTAATGCTATGCATCTGTGAATCAAAGATTGTCCTCAGCTATCTCTTGACCTTGTTGTCTCCACTTCTCTCCGTCTGCCGTCAGCAGCAGATGGATGGTTTGAACTGCCAGACAGAAGCAGGCAGCAGACAGAAGGCTCTGTCTGGAAAATCACTTCTTGAAACAAATTCCTGTATGGCGTAACGTAACACAATGTGTCTTTTATAGCTTTCAATCTTAAGATAGTGTTAGCCTGACATGATCGCACAAGCAGTACAGTAAAAGTCACATACATTTTGCAGTGTTGCAGTTTTAGTGTTTGTGCTAGTACTTGTGATCCATAAAATACCCATAACACCGAGGAGGAAATGTCTTCCTCTTGCAACCAAATAGCAACTATACCCTTTTTATTTGGAACTATTTTACAGTTGATAGTTAAAAGGGAAGAAATTAAAGTGAAAGTGATTCTAAGGTTTTGTCAGTTTGGATGGATTTTCACTCCACTCTTTATATTTTAAACATACTTTTGTGAGCAACATTTCAAAGTAATAACTCCCATTTCCTAAGGTCAGCACTCTCTTTTATCGCCTTTCTCCATTTAAACATAACTGTTTAACCTGATCAGCATATTCTGGATGATCCACTATTATTTTTGTTGGCAGGTGAAAAATTAATGAAGTAACTGGATACACTTTTAGGGTTTCATACAGAGTACATCAGTAAGCAGTTATGGAACTATGATAAATGAGCTAATAAAAGGGTTTGTGTCTGTTTGTTCCTGCTTTCACATCTATCCTCAATATTACACGTGGAAGCTTCCTCACATACATACATACAGTACATACATACATACATACATACATACATACAGTGGGGCAAAAAAGTATTTAGTCAGCCACCAATTGGGCAAGTTCTCCCACTTAAAAAGATGAGAGAGGCCTGTAATTTTCATCCTAGGTAAACCTCAACTATGAGAGACAAAATGAGAAAAAAAAAATATCCAGAAAATCACATTGTCTGATTTTTAAAGAATTTATTGGCAAATGATGGTGGAAAATAAGTATTTGGTCAATAACAAAAGTGAATCTCAATACTTTGTTATATACCCTTTGTTGGCAATGACAGAGGTCAAACGTTTTCTGTAAGTCTTCATAAGGTTTTCACACACTGTTGCTGGTATTTTGGCCCATTCCTCCATGCAGATCTCCTCTAGAGCATTGATGTTTTGGGGCTGTCGCTGGGCAACACGGACTTTCAACTCCCTCCAAAGATTTTCTATGGGGTTGAGATCTGGAGACTGGCTAGGCCACTCCAGGACCTTGAAATGCTTCTTACGAAGCCACTCCTTTCGTTGCCCGGGCGGTGTGTTTGGGATCATTGTCATGCTGAAAGACCCAGCCATGTTTCATCTTCAATGCCCTTGCTGATGGAAGGAGGTTGTCACTCAAAATCTCACGATACATGGCCCCATTCATTCTTTCCTTTACACGGATCAGTCGTCCTGGTCCCTTTGCAGAAAAACAGCCCCAAAGCATGATGTTTCCACCCCCATGTTTCACAGTAGGTATGGTGTTCTTTGGATGCAACTCAGCATTCTTTCTCCTCCAAACACGTCTAGTTGAGTTTTTACCAAAAAGTTCTATTTTGGTTTCATCTGACCATATCACATTCTCCCAATCCTCTTCTTGATCATCTAAATGCTCTCTAGCAAACTTCAGACGGGCCTGGACATGTACTGGCTTAAGCAGGGGGACACGTCTGGCACTGCAGGATTTGAGTCCCTGGCGGCGAAGTGTGTTACTGATGGAAGCCTTTGTTACTTTGGTCCCAGCTCTCTGCAGGTCATTGACTAGGTCCCCCCGTGTGGTTCTGGGATTTTTGCTCACCGTTCTTGTGATCATTTTGACCCCACGGGGTGAGATCTTGCGTGGAGCCCCAGATCGAGGGAGATTATCAGTGGTCTTGTATGTCTTCCATTTTCTAATAATTGCTCCCACAGTTGATTTCTTCACACCAAGCTGCTTACCTATTGTAGATTCAGTCTTCCCAGCCTGGTGCAGGTCTACAATTTTGTTTCTGGTGTCCTTTGACAGCTCTTTGGTCTTGGCCATAGTGGAGTTTGGAGTGTGACTGTTTGAGGTTGTGGACAGGTGTCTTTTATACTGATAACGAGTTCAAACAGGTGCCAATAATACAGTTAACGAGTGGAGGACAGAGGAGGCTCTTAAAGAAGAATTTACAGGTCTGTGAGAGCCAGAAATCTTGTTTGTTTGTAGGTGACCAAATACTTATTTTCCACCATAATTTGCAAATAAATTCTTTAAAAATCAGACAATGTGATTTTCTGGATTTTTTTTTTCTCATTTTGTCTCTCATAGTTGAGGTATACCTAGGATGAAAATTACAGGCCTCTCTCATCTTTTTAAGTGGGAGAACTTACACAATTGGTGGCTGACTAAATACTTTTTTGCCCCACTGTACATACATACATACATACATACATACATACATACATACATACATACCGTTTCCCTGTAAAACTATTTAAAATGAAAAGTTTGTTTGTTTTTAACAACTTATGTAAAGACTAATTTCAAGAAGAGGACATAAGGGGAGATCCTGGGAAAACACACCATAGGTTTTGAAGAAGGCTCTCTAGACGGCAGCTGAATAATGTTCCCATTCACGTTTTTATTAGTTTCAAAGCAAATGCTCTGTGTGTATTTAAGGTTATTTTTCAGCATTCTTTCTTGTTCAATAAAGACATTCTGAAACCTGCTGATTCAACGTTTGCCTTTATTGTGTTTTCTAACGTTTGGCTATGAAACCTGCACATCATAAGTAAAAAACAAACAAATTGAATTGTCTTTTCATTCACCGATAACTACATTTCTCTGTCTGTTTGTCTCATGTGATTCTGTCTTCTTTCCTTCTTGTAGTTGATCAGTTTGTGTGCCACACTGAGGCCGTTGCAGACATCATAATCCTGGTGGACGGCTCCTGGAGTATCGGTCGGCTTAACTTCCGGCTGGTCCGCATGTTCTTGGAGAATCTGGTCAATGCCTTTGATGTTGGCATCGATAAAACAAGGATAGGTGGGTCCCTGCGACTTTCCCTCCTGAACAGATACATACATACACCATGGGACCAATATGTTCTTCTGATGTTTGTGTCTGTGTTTTATTGCTTTATTAAGATTAACCCTAATATTTGACATTCAAAATCAGTTTGATTATCATTGTTTGGTGTTCAACTTTGAAGAATTGAACGAGTCGCTGTAATATAATTCTGTGTGTGATTGCAGGTCTGGCTCAGTACAGTGGGGATCCCAGGATAGAGTGGCATCTCAATGCTTTCTACACAAAAGATGCCGTTCTTGATGCCGTTAAGAACCTGCCGTACAAGGGAGGAAATACTCTCACAGGTGCTGGATCTTACTGATACTATTAGTTATTATGCTATGCTATTAATAAGTGTTCAGTTTGTTAGGAAGTTAAAAACCTAAGTTTGTTGTGATATCCTGTTTATTCATCCCTCTTCTATGCCTCCCTCTTTCTCTTTCCAGGCCTTGCGTTGACCTATATTTTGGAGAACAGCTTCAAGCCCGAGTCTGGCTCCCGTGTGGGTGTACCTAAAATCGGGATCCTCATTACAGACGGGAAGTCCCAGGATGATGTCATACCTGCGGCAGAGAGCCTGCGAAATGCTGGGGTTGAGCTGTTTGCCATTGGTGAGGGAGGAAGCAAACACACACAAAGACAATGAATCTTAGGAATAGTCACATTGTTAAAAGGGTTAAAACGCTTTGTCACTTTAAATCTCCATCCTTTTTCTTTGAACTGATCTTAGTACCTCACCGTCTGGCATCTCTAAATGTGATGCTGAGAGTAATACATTTGATTTTCCTTTCCCAGGTGTTAAGAATGCTGATGAGAATGAGCTGCACTCCATCGCCTCAGAGCCAGGCGAATCTCACGTCTACAACGTGGCCGATTTCAACGTCATGAGCTCCATCGTAGGGGCTCTGACCAAGACTGTGTGTGAACAAGTGGAGCAGCAAGACAAGGACATTAAACAGAGTAAGGGCTGGGTGATACAAGAGAGGAAGATGCTCGTGTTGTCTGACCACGTTGGAAATCAAGAGATAATAGTGTTTCCAAACTGTATCTTTTGTAAGTTATTCATAGTGTTGCACAAGGTTGTTCGCTTGGAAAGTGGCAGACATAGTTGTGTAAGTCCATAAAGTTCAAATTGTGGCTCCTTTCTCACCTTCACACAGAGACGCATTTTTGTGCTGATACTTAGTATAATAACAGTAAGCGCATGCAAGCGAGAGATATCACTTACAGCTCTTCAAATTATACGAGGCATATTAAGATTAAGTTAAGGTAAAGTGGGTTTTTTAACAGTCGAGTAAACTATTTGCGAGTGTAATCACTTTGGCTCTTCCTAATGCTCTTGCATGACTGGATTATAAAATGTCACTTTGAAATCACAAGCCTTGCAGCAGCTATAGTTGTGAAGTGGGTTTTATAAGGAGTGCGAACCAAGTCCTGGATATTTAAATAGAGCTTGAGTGGCTAGTGATTGGGCTACTTAATGCAAAGTGTTATCGGTTATATGTGTTTTTTTTAGAGAGATCTTTCTGTTTCTCCATCTTTCCCACTCTTTTCCCCCAAAATTATAATTTCTATAAAAATAAAGATGCAGGATGGATATCTTTTTTTTATATATAGAAACCATTAATCAAGTCTAATGTGTTTTGATGATATTCCAACCCAATCTCTTTTATTCAAATTCTCAATGCATGTGAGTTTTTCTACCTAAAAGTTCCTTACTGGGAGTAATTATTTATAATCGTATGCAATCTGTTTCTTATCCCTCACATTTCCTCTTCTTTATTTGTTCAGAACAGATACCAGAGACGACAGGATCCCCACTTGAGCTGGTGACATCCGAAGTCACGGCCCGGGCTTTTAGGGTTTCATGGAGCCACGCCCCCGGAAACGTAGAGAAATACAGAGTGGTTTATTACTCTGCTAGCGGAGGAGATCCACAGGAGGTAAATACTGTGTTTTATTTTTTATAAGGACACACATATATTTACTTCTTCTAACTTGACACAATTTAAATTAGGAGCTCATGGAGTAAGCAATCACTACAAACAAATATATGACTAAGTAAGAATAAGAAATATCCATATCATTGCAAGCCCACATTGTAGTTCACTGCTGTCTAAAAATATACACACGTAGAAACATAAGATCTAAATAACACTGAGGTGAAGAGACTCAAGAGTGGTACAGAGAGGGGGGGTTTAGGCCGGGGTATGCTCTGTTTTTCATCAATGTGACTGCACCAGTGGGAGTTGCTGTATCTTGGGTCTTCTGGCAAGGGTATGAATTAAGCTCAGTTCTTTCCTGGGACGCTTGTGGCATTATTCATCCGTACCCTTCGCTCCACTCCTTCCAATCACAACTCATCTAAACATCCCTGCAAGGGAAGAAGGCTAACCAGAAAAAGTATACTCCGGCTGATAGAGGCACCTGCTTGATTTTTCCAGAACATTTGACCACAGAAACCATTAAATCTTTCGCTTAGCTGGTTTTACGGGGACCAGATGTTATGGAGGGACATGTGAGGAGACCTTTCCAGCTGGCTCAGCCCGGCCCTAATCTCTATCACAACTGTCATCCGTACAGTTTAGAATGAAAAATATTATTTAGCTATAGACGTTTTGGCTTTATCCTGTTTAATAAATCAATTGTTTTTCCTTTCTTTTCCCATTTTATCCCAAACTCTCTTTCCTCCCCTCCATTTGTCATTTTTCATCCTCTGGCATTTGTTGCACCCTTTTCTCCTTTCCCTTAACCATCTCTGCACCCCATGCCTCTTTCCTGTGCCTTCCTTTCACCGCACACCCTACCCCCACTCACTCTTCCTGGACCTCAGGCGGTAGTGGACGGCAGTGAGACTTCAGTGGTGTTGCAGCATCTCAGCTCTGTCACTGAGTACCAGCTGGCTGTGTTTGCTGTGTATGCAAACGAGGCGAGTGAAGCTCTCAGAGGATCAGAAACAACCCGTAAGTTTATTTTAGCACATAAACACACACTTGCAGAAATTAACTTACAAAACCTAACACTAAGGCTTCAGTCAACATCTGAAATCACAAGTTTGTAATGATGGATTCAAAGTCTGACAGCCATGGAAGACAGACATATGGAAAACGATGCCCTCATGACAGCAGGCCAATCCAAAAGTTTTTAATTAGGATCTACTAAACTAAATAGACTTTCTTCATTACTATGTTTCCTCCTTGATTGAACTGTGCTGTGTGTGTGTGTGTGTGTGTGTGTGTGTGTGTGTGTGTGTGTGTGTGTGTGTGTGTGTGTGTGTGTGTGTGTGTGTGTGTGTGTGTGTGTGTGTGTGTGTGTGTAGTAGCCCTTCCCTCAGTGACGGTCCTCCAGCTGTTCGATGTGACTCACAGCAGCATGAAAGCAAGATGGGACAGTGTGGATGGAGTCTCTGGCTATGTGCTGCTGTACGCACCGCTCAGAGATGATGGAGACTTTACAGACAAGGAGGTAGTGAAACAAAGAAACACACAGAATAATACAAAAATAAAATATATATTGAACAGAGAAACACAATTGATCACTTTTAACAGAAACGTGGCAGCTGAGCGTCTTTTTTAATTTGTGTATACATGTGTGTCTTGGTTCCTAGGAAAAGTTATCGGATGCAGTGACAGAGCTGGAGCTGGATGGGTTGAACCCCAGTACTGAATANCATCAGCTTCTTCGTTCACGTTTGACTATTGTTCACTGTGGTTTGTTGTTGTCTGAAGTAATGAACGTTAGTTGGTGCTCCAGTATAATCGGTACCCCCGAAACTCATCCAGTGAGAAACGTTCCGCGGTGCAAAAATAAGTGCGATTAAAATGCGTTAATTTTTTTAACGCGTTAATTTTTGTGTAATTAATTAATCTTAATTAACGCGTTAAAGTCCCGGCCCTAGTATACATGTGTGTCTTGGTTCCTAGGAAAAGTTATCGGATGCAGTGACAGAGCTGGAGCTGGATGGGTTGAACCCCAGTACTGAATACACCGTCACTCTTTACGCCATGTTTGGGGACGAGGCCAGTGACCCCATTACAATCCAAAGAACTACATGTGAGTAGTGCACATGCACACATATACACTTTTTTACTTCTGTCCTCATGAGGGCTCTTATTCTGAACCTTTATGATTAAGCCTAAAAATTGCTCAATTTTCAACCATATCCTCACTCTGTCTACAATTCAAACTAGTTCTAACAATGCTAAAAGAAAATACAAACATACATTAAATAACATGCCCTCTCTCTCCCAGTACCCCTGAGTCCTCCTAGCAACCTGCAGTTTTCTGACATCACTCACAACTCCGCCCACATCCGCTGGGATGCCGTGCCCAGAGCGGTCAAAGGTTACCGCATCCTGTGGATCAAGACGGACGGAGGAGTCAAGAAGGAGGTGTGTGACAATGTGACAGCGTGTCTCCATGATTCTTATGTGTTTAAGACGTCATACTTAGATATGATTTATATATGGCAGCATCTCCATCTGTGAATGTGTGTCGAGATGAGAGTTGAGAAAAAAGTGAATATAGACTAGAGAAGGATAGAACAAATGGGAGATTAATTAATTAATAACGATCGTTGTGATGAGTGTTAAAGGTTAGAGAATAGTTCATATTCTCTAATATGAATGAATATGATAATATATAATATGATAATATGAATTAATTCAGGTATGTTCTCTTTTGGCTTGCTTTATCTCTGTGTGACTGTATGTGCACAAGTTGTAGCACTGCCCACAAATGTTGGTCTTTGTCGTCTAAAATGTAATTAGTAGATTAGTCATTTGGTAATGCAAATATTATCATGCTGTATATTACAAAAAAACTCTGGTAAACGTTGAAGTGGTACTTTTGCATAGTTTTTTAGTCAATTCAATCATCTCATCAATTAGTCAATTCAAATGTTTTGTTTGTCAACTAAGACATTCTTTGCTCAAGGACAGCCTTAATAAGTTAGATAACCTCCTTACATTTTCACGTACGATGCTAATGCAATTTCCTTAGTGTTAGAACTAAAATAAATCTTTACAAACAACATGATTTAGTGAATTTGTGGCCTTTTTTAGGTAACTGTGATTAAACTTTTATTTTTACACAACCCCATACCTGTGTGTTTCTGTGCTGTGCAGGTGGAGGTGGGTCCTGTGAACTCCTACGACCTCAGTGAGCTGACGTCTCTGAGTGAGTACTCAGTGGCCATCTCTGCCCTGTACGCTGAGGGCCAATCAGAGCCGCTCACAGATGGATTCACAACCAGTAAGTCCCTTTTTCACTGTAAGGATACTTTTAGAGGACACCATGGAACTTATTGCATAATGCTGAATACAAATAACGGCTCATTTAGTTTAACCAATCGTTGCACCATTGGTTATTAACGATCAAGTACATTTGTTCATTTGTTTTGTTTTATAATGGCTTCTACTTTGTCTTCCACATTGGTGTTTCGACATTTCCCATCTATGCTGAGGACAATTTTGTCTCAATTTCCTGAAGTAGTTGTACTAATACCTTTGGAAGGCAAACCATTTCTCTCTAAAGTGGCAAACAGCATTGCATTTGATTACCCCTACTGGTCCTGTTGCTGTTTGGCAGTCTGCCCATCTCATTAACACCTCGGCATAATGGCCCAGTCGCATTAAAAGGTCATTTTGTTGTCCCTTTACTATTCCGTCACGCTGACGGATATCGATTTGTAGGAATATCCCTTTAAGCAACAAGCAGTTGGGCTCTAATGCTGAGTCTGCTGAAAGAAATGTATTTTTTGCAATATTTAACTTCTCACTCTAAGGGATGTGTTGATTTGTATTTATCTCTTGGCAAACTTTGCTCAGAGACCGAGGTTTAAGAGAGGGAGCTTCATTAACCAACACAAATGTGTAAGCGCTTTCTAAGAAGAATGATGGACGAGCATGATACGAGTTTATGTCCTGGTATCCAGAACATTTTGGAAATATAAAAAAGGACTATAGGGAATACACATTATTAGAAATCATATGCACATGACAATTAAAGTAAAAAGTAAACTCTCTCTCTTTGTGTCTCTCAGCCCCGGTTCCTGGTCCTTTGGATCTTCGCTCCAATGATGTGAGCACAGATAGCTTCCAGGTCAGCTGGGATCACTCAGCCGATGACATCTTCCTCTACAGACTCTCCTGGGCCCCGTTCATGGGTGGCGACACAAAGGAGGTCATTACCAATAAAATATGATATGTAAAGGTGTCTGTTTTAAAGACATTTTCCTTGAAGATCACTCACAAAAATCGGCAGTTAAGATCATCTTCATTGGCATGGTTAAAAACACCAAAGGCATGACAATTTAAAGCTGAGTCCTTGGCACAACTATGAGCTCACCACAAAATATATGTTCACTTCCTCAACCCCAAAGATGTTACAGCAATATATGACTTAGCGTCAAAAGCTACATAACCTCCATGGGTTTTGATTTTTTACATTTAGCCAGGGGTCCACTTGTTATCTTGCTTCCCAGAGGTAGAAGTGGCTACACTTCATTTACTCAGATAAAGGTGTGCCAATATCTAGCTTGCACATATAGTAAGTTCACTGCACTACTGGTAGCTGGTAACACCCCTGGCATGAGTGTAAATAAAGGCTGAATACATCTCGAAATTAACAGCTAGGGTGTTTTATTACCATGATCCGGGGTTTGGAGCCAGCTGTGTGGCAGAGATAGAGCCCTTAGGTCTGTAAGAGTGTGTGTGTGTTTGTGTGCATGTTGTGTGAGTGTGTCTGGGTATTTGTGTGTTTTGCTAAGAGTCATCAGAGCTGAAAATAAACTCAGGGGAATTGAAGAGGTGGGCTGGTAATTCTGAGAGAAAAGGATACATGCAGCTTTTCTCTGTCTCTCACCCACCCACCCACACACGCACACGCACGCACACACACACACACACATATACAAACACACTTTTACATCCTCCACCGACCACTCTGTATTGTTTTATCTAAAAAGGCATTAAACATAATAGTCGAACAACAGACAGACGAACAACAGAGTGAGAAATGACCCAGATTGAAATTTTATGATAATCCAGAGCTCCATGCGAGGAAATTGAGTAAATCGTATCATTTTTTATTATCTTGTTTTGTTTGGATTCATTGGTTTTACTAGCATCCTGATTCAGTTCTCAAATCAGATGTTTGTGTTCTTTGTTAATCAATAAAACGTCTGTTTGATTCCACTCTTTAATCAGGCGAAAACACACAGGGGCAATGCTGTAAAATATGGAAATACATGCGAGGAATTGTTAAAAGAAAAACGAGAGAATGGAGCACTAAAGATGCACTTGCTCCTGGGAAAGCACAAATGGCCGGTCCCACGGCTGAGATGTGCATGTAACTGTGCCTCGAAGGCCTCTGTATAGAGACTAATTCAGGCTGCGCTTAATAGGGTTATTGAGTCATCAACAGTTAATTCCTTTTTCAATGTTGCTCTCCATGGAAGCACTCTGCACTTGTGATGACCTCTTTGTGTTTATCTTGGGGCCTGACTCAGTTTTGCTTTGGACAAACAGTGGTTTGGACTCCCGCAGCAGCAGTTGATCTGGCCACGCTGTTATATTCAGGGGAAACTACACATATCTGCTGACTCCTATAGGGAGGGTAGCTTTGCCAGTCCTGCAATGGCCCTATTCTAAGGTTGGTTTTGTTTAACATAACGAAAGGTATAATAAGCAGGGCTGCACATAACTGGTGCGCAGGTGCGCATGCGCACCTCTGTCAAAAAAAGAGCACCGGGTCATTTGAAAAAAGGCGCATTTGGTACCAACATTGAGAGAGAGAAGGGAGAAGAGAAAAGAGAGGAGAGAGAGAAGAGAGGAGAGAGAAGAGATGAGAGAGAGGAGAGAGAAAGAAAGATATTTGCGAGTTGCATATGAACTCAGGGCCGGCCCGTAGCACTGGCGTTATAACTTTTCGCCTCGGGCGCCAGATCTGGGGAGGCGCTGCGTTGGCAGCTCTCGGAGGGAAAACACATTTTTGACCGTTGGTGCAAATCCTAATTTTTCGGCCTTGATGTAACAATATTCATAATTAAGTAAATGTAACACCCTTTTCACCCCGGTTACACGTTTCATTTGCCCTGTACGATGGGCGGTACAGGGCAAATGAAACGTGTAACCGGGGTGAAAAGGGTGTTACATTTACTTAATTATGAATATTGTTACATCAAGGCCGAAAATTAGGATGAGCCCCAACGGTCAAAAATGTGTTTTCCCTCCCACCCTTAATTAGTCAGCTAGTCAGTCAGTTAGTCAGTCAGTCAGTCAGTCAGTTAGTTAGTCAGTTAGTTATTCAGTTAGTCAGTCAGTTAGTTATGCAGTTAGTTAGTCGTCAGTTAGTTAGTTAGTTAGTCAGTTAGTTAGTCAGTCAGTGAGTCAGTTAGTGAGTTAGTTAGTTAGTTAGTTAGTTAGTTAGTCAGTGAGTCAGTTAGT